CATATTGAACAAAAGTCTTGTTCCCACCCGCACTCATCCATCATTTACGTAATAGCTTCAAGTGCAAAGCATCTTGGAAAACCATAGCTCTTCAAGACTTCAACCACGTCAGATATCTTCCTAGCGCATCATACAGCAAAATATTGTTACATCACTCTTGGTATTTGAGCTCGAAAACGCAATCCGGTAGTTTGCACAGAAATATCGATGATTCGTCATGATCTACAACTAGAATCATACTCTATTAATGCACGGTTATAAGATCCTCACATATAGGTCTAGAAGTCTTCCGTCTGGCCCAATTAGCTAGCCTCTTCTCCTGCCATCGGTCGCATGGAGACGCACGCATTTTTTGTGCAACACCCAGTTTTTGCAGACTCGTTCCCGACACAAATTTTGTGCCTTGCATATTATGACGATCCGAAACTGATAGGCTGGGATGGGCAATCGTGACAAAAGGGGCGGCGGGGAAGTGATTCACATTGCATGCATGCATGATCGATTACGGCACCGGCCGCAGCGGGATATTTCTTCCGGGCCGCGTCGGGGCCTCCGATTGAAGTGGAGTGGATGATGGGGGTTGATCGTCGCGCGAACAGAAATGGGCTGGCGAAGGGTTGATCTCCTCTCTGGATTCGTCCGTCTCTTGATTCTGAGCCGTACAGATGGGACTGGCGGTGGTAGGATCCATCCATTCAATCTTCCCTCACAGTAGTACACTGCGCGCCCATTGTTTAGCTTATCCAAAGTATACTTACTTGTCTTATAACTTATACACCCAATTCTCTGTTTGTGTCGCGCTGCTAATCTTCCTACATGGGAACTACAATGCTACCCTCGGCTTTCGGTTTTCCATGGTGCGATCGATGTACATATTTATAATGATTCGCAATGATATGGATGTCAGTAGAACACTACAGAACTCTCTCTTTCGCAATAGATAGATAAAGATAAATAAGCTTTTCAAAGACCTCTCTCTCTCTCTCGCAGTTTCCTCAAGAAATGAAATGCCGATGCGGAAACAAGGATTCCCGGTTTTCGATATTCATGCGTTGTATGCATAACATTTTCTGTGGGGGTGAGTGCATGGCTCATTCGTTCTCGAGTGTTATCTCGATCTCTATCTCTTGCTTGGAACATGAGGGAAGAAGAAAATCGGAGATTTTTTTGCTCGGGTGATTATTGTTTTTTTAGTTGGTTGGTACCTACCTATCTATCGGCTTGAAGTAGATTCTCTATCGTGTTTATCTTATCTATCTATCATGTATGTGTGTGTATGTGTATCTCACGCTCCATCCATCCATTCCACTCCATTTTATTCCATTTCATCCCAACATCCGACGTATTAAAATAGTAAATTCTAGACTTCGTACAACTTTAATTCGTAGAAAAAAGAATAGTCTAGAAATGGTGACAAGAGGCTAGACACTTACCTACCTACTTCCTCCCTGTAAGTACTAACCAAAAGGTTTGCGTCATTAGAAATACTGGGATGGAATGAATCTCATGGATAGAAGATAAAAGATGGAAGATAGAAGATTATATATGCAGATAGTAGATCGACATGGAGATTTATCGGAGGTGTGTGGTTGAGTGTAGATCAAATTCCGGAGATGAGGTTCTTGGGAGTAGGTCTTGGGATGGGATGGGATGGTATGGATAGGACGGGATAGAATGAAATTGTGAAGTTTCTTGGGAATGATGATCGGCGTTGATGTTCTTTTTTTGCTATTTTTTTCCCGGCATACGAGGATACCTATGTTCTTGCGTGTAGATCGGATACCGGAGATGAGGTTCATGGAAGTAGGTAATTCTCGGGATTGGATATGGTGGGATGGGATGGGATGGATAGGATGGGATCGGATAGCCTGGATTGTTCTTGGTGAATGAAGATCGACGTTTGGATTTTGTAGAGATATTGCTGGCTGGATGAAAGGTTCGCGGCGGGACGATGATTTTCAGGATTTGAGGTTGAGGTTTAGGATATTTGAGGATGGGGACGGGGATGGATGCTGGAGAACTTTTGTGGATTGGAGGGATGGTTTCTAGGTGGAGAATTGGGAGCAGAATGGGATGACTGGCTGGCTGGCTTTGCTGTGCATTGATGAGAGAGGTATTGTGACCACTGATGTATGCGGTTTGAAAGTAAAAAGCTTTAGACTTCTTCTACTCGATTATATGTAATGAGGTTATCAGGTGAATGTTCTTCCATATATATTCACTGCCGGTGTGGTTTGCGATATACAATGGGCACTTGTCCTGAGATATATAAAGTTCTTGGGAGCATCAGATCTTGGTGGATTTTCTTTTCTTCGTGAATACAGAGGAGGATTGAGATTCTCCGGATGTGGATAAGGACAGGGATTCGGTTTATCTTCCAGCTATATATATGCCTCAATTCTGGATGTCAATTCGCATGACTTCAAAACTATGTCTTTGCTAGGAAGAGATATCGTGTATCTATCTTTCTCCTCATTCGCAATGTCATGTATGCAGGCTTACGTTCGCTGTCGGAACTGCAATTAAGCTGCCAAATCTTTCGCGTCTTTTGACAACAGAAATATCCCCTCTCCAATATCTATCTTTACATCTGCTCAATGGTTCATAGAATTGTGTACATTTCTACATGCGAACACATTAGGATCAATCTGGGTCCCCTACAACGTCAACAAATGCCGCACCCATGCAGCGTTTTTATCCATGGTTTTCTGCTTTAGATGAGTGGAATGGGAAGGAAGATGTAGGAGTTTTATTACTTAGATTATCAATTTCGTGTCGGGATTACTTTCTAGTGAAAAATGAGGCTTCATCGAAGATTCGTGAGTGAATGAGCATTCGTTAGATCAGGGAGAAGGGTGAGTTGAGAGTGTATATATCATACATATACTTGAGACTCTTCATTCTTCATAAAGAGACTCAAAAAAGGTGACTTGCTCGATAATGTTGTCGCCACAGAATGTGGTTTCGGTATTGGTGGATGGCTCATTACGATGAGGATAGTTCTAGATCTATACAATGAGTTGTTAAATACAATGGTAAATGGTTGGTTGAATCCCTTAGTGGGGAGAATCGCTGCTACTGTAGATGCTATACTTGATATATCTGCTGGTTGTTGTTGCTGCTGCTGTTGAGTGCCCGTTCCTAAAATAATGATCAATTGTCGGTAGCTTCTTGTTGTCAGAAATCTAACACATCATTTTGACGACTTTTAACCCCAAAAAATCCCCTAATCGAGGCTGCTACACATGCCTAGGTGGAGACTGAAATCTCTGAGATCATAAAAATCGAAAACGGCCTGTTCTTCACTGATCCGATATCTAGAAAACTGAAATATCAATTCCGGCTGTGACTTAAATAGGTATCTTGTAGTTTCTCTTTACGCGGGAGTTTTGTTAATATGGATGAAGGTGGTGGTGAACGTATGGAATATTGACTTAGTCACATGTGATGATAGTAAGTGACATGAATAGATTGATAGTCTCTGTTGATGATTCACTTTGGAACATTTCTATGGTATAGGCAGGCAGGCAGGCAGGTAGACAAAAGTATTCCATGGCTAGATATATAAAGTACCACTGTGTCTCTTCCCAAGGACTTCTTCATAGAGCGTAGGCTGGGTATCCCATTAGGGGAGATGGCTAGCACAAGAGGTGCGGTTTTCACAAAGAAATATGACCTGATTAATGAGTTGTTCGAGGAATCTCATCATGTTGAGCTAATTGTTTATTCCTCGGATAATAACAATGAGTGCTGTCTCTGACATATTTCTCGTCGTAATTACTTTCTCTCTTTTGTTGTAGGTAAGCTTTTTGCAACAGACTTTCCGACTATACTTCTTTACCATCTCTCAACCTTAATGGAAAACATAATACTGAGAAAAGTTCTTTTAAACACGTCGCAAAGCGTTCTTGGAAATTGCGGAGGAAATCATAGTCCAAAATTCAACTAATTACCAATCTAATTTTAAACGAAGCAGAACTTTCCAGGAGGATCAATCCTTTTATATATCCTCGCCTCAAGAAGGATTTCCAACTCTAAGGACTTCGCAACTGCCATAGTGAATATCTCACAAGGCTCTCAAACTCCATTTTTACTCCCTACAGTGTGAATCACTCACCCGTTCTCGATAAGACGACGTATATATTATCTTAGAAGTAATATAGTGTTCCTTCAAGTAGTATAAAACGGGACGCGAAACCAGGTGTGGTTGTTACATCTCTCGGAAAAATGAAATCATCTGGTTGGTAAATTTCAAACCCCTTTTCCACATTCCGGAACCATATCTCAATCTGTGTTGCCGCACATCATTGTCTTCAAGGTCGCGTAGATGTCGCAAAATACTTCATCACTGTCAAACATCCAGCTTGACCCATATATCTTCTAGGACTTCACTTCTGCAGAAGAGATGAGAAATAGCAGAAGGGGGGCTGTTTCCCCAACAACAACATGTCCTGCTGACGAGGTCTTGAATGCGCGAGGAAGTCCGCAACTTTTGCTTCTAAATTCGTGTCATGAAGCCTTACTTCTCTCCTCTCGTTCTGAAATCAATGTCTAGGAACTTCATTACAAGAAACGGGTCTTTATACAGGAGACTTGAAGATACCTACCTAACTTAGTAGCAGGGACGAAGAATGTAAAGTATAGGTGAAATTTTATTAACCGATTGTAGCCTTAACAGAATTTAGTGGCTAAGATGGGGTTTTACAGACACTCAAGAGACTTATTGGTTTTCCAAATCAGACCAATTTTAATTTCAGCGGTTACTGCTTGCGCATATGAAAAACAGAGTGAACTGATCGAGAGCTGTTCACCACACTATGAAATTGACACATGTAGAAAGAGGAATATTTAACACACGTTTCAGGACTCTTGAACATTGACAAGTAAGAATGATTTATTGCTTAATTGTCATTTTCAATGAAGTTAAAAATACTGTCAGACACAACTTTTATTACTGTTGATTCAGAACACCCACGTTTTAGTCCCACTTCTCCCGAATTTCACCCAAACACGTCACTGATAAAGTCGGACAATTGTTTTAGAGGAGGACTAGTTTTGCATTCCACATTGTTGTCTAATTGAATAGTTGATAAGTATGATCCAGCGGGGGCGGGATACAGCAACGCATGTAATGGTCTATCGTCCAAAATCAGCGGTATCAAGGCGTCTCGATGATGTAGAATTAATACGCCCGGATTTTGGTTCCGATATATGTCAGAGAGATCCGAATTTTCACCTATTGTCAGAATTTTGAGGTCTTGGCTCACCGGAATGGCCCAGCTATGGAGTGCGAGAAGAACATCAGCGCCTTGCTCTTGTTCTGACTCGCGATTCGATGAGCCGTCGAGAACGTCGTCAGAAGTATCCATGATAGAGTCATCATCTTTGCCTAGTTCGTTGTCGTCATGCTTAACTTTCACCGTGCGCAAAACAGCATATGCCGCAGTCCAATGGTCTGCGGCGTTGTATATAATTTCGGATCTACCCAAAACTACTTTTGCAATGGAATCTCCGTCTCGAACATCTGCATTGACAAGAAACTCCTTCATGGCTGGAAAGATATCCGTCTGTAGATTCGGCCACATGATGGTAACTCTTGATGTCTTTAAATTGGCAGGCAAGAGTTCATTGATATGCTCTTTAGACCATTTCTCATTTTCCTGCCGCCACGTATTTATATGTTCGAGCAATGTTAAAGGCGCGTACTCCTCAGCTTGGATGTTAAGATTGGCGTGGAGTTCATTCTGTTGAGGAATCTGGCACAATTCCTTGATATCAGCAAGTTGTTATATAGGGTCAATTGCTTTAAGCCCGGAATTAGTCAAATCTGAGGTCGAAGAAGTAGCCAGTCTGATGGTGAAGGTGGAATTGATCTCAGGTATTCATCATTTCCAGATTGGTGCTCGTTGATATCTAAGCCATTCCCTGATCAAATCAAGGACCTGATGCTTCTGTCCAATTTCCAAATCTTCATATGTACTATACAATAATCTTGCAACGGCGTGAAACAGATGAAATGTAGGTTGTTCGTAGTCAATTACCAAGTTTTGTCGGATGAGATCCTCCTTTGGAAGCAGAGAGAGAAGTGCGTATATCTTGTCTCTGGGGTTGGTAGCCTTGGCAGTTTTATACCGGAGAACCAAATCCACGAATGTACCGGATTTTGATTTGAGCGATATTGCAAAGTTGTAAGGCTAGTAGAATTCATCTCGCGGCTTCCTGAATGGAATACTCCCGTATTTGACCCCATCTGTAAAAACTAACTTGAAGCATCTTCGGATTCTCCAGAGCATAGCGGGCATAACCAAATCGCACGCACTCTCTTCTAGTCTTGCCCGACACTCGTTGCTCAAATGGCTCATTAACATGTTAAAATCTTCCACGAGAACCGCTTTTTAAAATCCGTTTGAGAAAAGCGTGATTTCGTCGCGCGCAGGATAATTTCCTGTTTGATCCATACTCTACTATCGAAATATGGTAATTTTAATTCAAACCTTCTCGAGTTCTTCTCCCTGGCGATTCTAGCCTCTTCGTCGCCATCGCTTGCTGAGGTGGGCTGTATGGCACCGATCGTGTCACCAGTACCAATACAACTTGCGACCCACAATGCCGATTTGTATATCGAACCCATGATAGCCACCTGAAAGTTCTTCTCTTCATTGTTATCTTGATTGATACACAATGAATCGATCCACAAATAATCGGTAACGCCATGGTGTCTCATCTGCCACAGAGCATACCAGCAATTGAATCGCCAACTCGCATCCTTTATTAAACCGTTTTACTATTATCGGCATGAGTGGGACAAAATCTCCCCAAGTGTACGAAATGGCAATGTAATCGTGGGTGATATGCATCATCGCAAAAGTTGTGAACCGTCAGGCTGAAGCAATAGTCATCGCCATCAGGTGATGATTGCTCCAGCCGAAGCAATCTGATTTGCTTATCAGGGTGCCGGAGCGGAAGACCTGCGTAAGGAGACGACATGATGAATGATGAAGAAGTATAAGGAGAGGACTAGAGGAGGAATCATCGATTTGTATTGCAGGAAAAGCTGATGCACTTTTGTGCCACGCCTCTCAGCCTCTTTGGTGGGTCTTGATAGTTTTTGGGCGATTTCTCAGATTCCCCAAGTAAACCTTTGAATATATCGTATGGCGAAGGGATCTGATTGCTTCTGTGTGTAAATCATGGTAAGATCATAAATTATTTGCTTCCCAAGCCTCTTTAATTCAAACACATCTTGTAAGATCCAAGAGTACAGGATGACTGGGCCCCCAAAATGACAAGTTGTAGAGCAGTTCCGCGTGGGGTACGCCGGGGGTTATGTATGTAAATCAACCTTAACGGCAGCTAACCTTAGACGGATTCCATTTCGTATTTCACCTGCAATAAGGAGTACATCGGGGGAAATTCCTGAAATTGAACTATTTTAAGTTGGATCGTTTGAGCTTGAACAAAGTATAGATAAAGTAAACGGGGGAAATACCGTGCCCTTACACACCGAAATCAACCTTACTCACCGCCTACCAAACGCGTCGCGTCTAACACCAATTTTAGCACTTTAAAAAACCATGCACATCAATTGTTCAACCAGACACCGAATATAAACTGAAATGAGCGTTACAAAAATGAGAAAGGATTGATCGAAATGAGATCTGTTAGCTTTTCCTGCAAATACACGATAAACTTACCAGCACAGCCGCACAATTCCGAGCCTAAAAAACAGTGGTCACCGAGTATTCATGACTGGGGTATTTCGAAGTTTTGAATCAGATCAGAGGAGCTGCCAGTCTTCTGCCAGCTTCCCCAAAGCCCTATCAATATAAGTTTATGAATCCATTGCCGTATTCGGTTCGGTCCAAACATCCGCAACCAATATAGACCGAAACGGTCGTTCCTACGCCGTTATAAACCTGACATTACATAGGTAGTGGGAGCTATCACCGCCATACATTCAACAAGTTCAAGAAAGATCTTTTGAAACCAATGCCTGGGAGCCAAGAATAGACAGAAGCAGAGCTTGAGGAATTCTTCTAACCATTGGTTTACTGGCCATAGCGATGTCGATTCCACATGGGCAGCTCAATAGTTGCGTTTCGAGATCCTTTCCCATCGCGCAAGGCCGCAAACAGGGTGAATATCTCCGTAGGCTATTAGTCTGCGCTGCAGAGAGGAACAAGAAACAAGCATTGTCGTTAAGTTGAAAACTTCATATCCAGTAGGATGCAATAGCGTGGAGACTGTATTAGCTGAGCATCAGTTCTCAAACCGTTCTCCCGCAAGTTGCGAAAAGAGCAGGCTTTAATCCGATGCTCCGTTTACCACATACTATTTGACTATCCAGGACTAATTGAAGCGGTCTAGACCTACAAGCTTGTTGTAGGTAGTATTTCGATGATATGTTGAACGCGGATATCATCACCATGGCTCACACTCTAACCTCCAAACCACAATTCCAACCCCAATCACAGTCGAAAACCGACCACAAGCTGAAAATACCTTCTTTTCCTCTCCCATCCCACCGATCCCATGACGAGTTCGTAGAATTTGTGTGGAAGCCTGACAACGATAAAATTTCCGAGCGGACTGATAAGCGATGACCTCACACCAGACCCTCTAGCCACCGTACGGAAAATTCAGAATTTAGCGTCACCCATAATGATTTTATATGGCTGGGATTACTATGCCTGCTCCATGGTAAGCCAGTTGCGAAACCACTTGAGTGAATATCTTTCTTTGAACCTCGCGGTCGATGGTTTATTGTCCAATGTCGAGTTGGAACAATAAGGGCTGATTGTCTAGTTTCAATCTAAATAATTAGGGCCGATTATTTACTCGAAGTTTAAACAATCAGAATTGATTGTCTTTTTTGAATTTAAACAATAGAGGCTAGTTGTCTATATCGAACTAGGGCATTGAGAGCTTCTCTTGTTTCAATAACCGATTTCCCCCATTATATACACGTCCCTACTACATGCACGACTTTGAAAATATCAATATTATAGCTTCAAACATCGATGATATATCTTTAAAGGTTTGTATAAAGCTTGTATTAAATTATTTGAAAAGGGTTTAAGCTTTTAAATATATCTAAACAGCTAATTTCTTTAAAATTGATCGATCCACATTCTTTCGGCAGTATAGAGGTAAACTATTTCGAGAAAACAATTCCTTTTCGATACGAAACAAATGTTTTCTAATAATCAGGAGAAGATTTTAGTTGATCAAATTAATAAGTTGATATAAAGATCTATTCTTTTTACAAGCTGTATAATCAGAAACCTTGTAGAAGAAATCCTAGGCAAAGAGATAAAAAAGAATTGGACTAGCAATTTTGTTAAAAGGTATTTAATATATTTTAAAAAATCGGTATCTTTGTTGTATTGATAATTTATATGTGAAAGCTGATAATGTTGTTATATTTGATTATTTTTATAATCTGATTTGAGCTATTTTCTATTGTTGTTGATCTTTATTATCTAAAATGCTTTTGCTAATATTCTTTTTTTTTTAATTTAATTGATAAAAGTGATTATAAAATACGATATATAGTTGAGAAATATATATAATTAGGATGAGAAGGGCTTTATAATTGGTATGAAAAGGATTATGAAGAGGATAATGAGTGCTAGTGCCTATAATAGAGGTAGAGTGATAAAGCTAGGCAAGATGGATTATAAGAGAGTTTTTACCCTATTGGTAGCTATATATGCTGATGGGATAGCTTCTTTTTTTGCTTTTATTTATAAAGGAGACTCAGGGGGATCTACAAGATATATGGGTTCAGGATATAGGGGAAAAGGATAAAAGTCTATTTTGGAGTCTCAAGCAATGAGTAGTTGGTTTGAATGCTTTTAGCTTATATTGGCTTATAAATATATTCGATCCTGCTATATGTCGAAAGCCGGTGGAAAGATATTGTCTATTTATTGTTGATAGTTATTCTAGTTATATCAATATGGACTTTCTTTCAAAATATAATGAATTAAAGATTATTATTTTAATTCTCCCCCCTCATTCTATATATCGACTGTAGCCTCTCGATATTGGAACTTTTGGTATCCTTTCGACGAATTACAATACATTATTGAATGATTTGATATATAATAGTAAGAGGATTATTGATATAACAAAGTGCATGTTTTGGGGTTTTATTTAAAAAGGCTTGGGAGCTCACTTGTATGAGGTATAATATCTTACGATCCTTTGAAAAAACGAATATATATTCTATGAATAGAAGTCTTATGATTGACTGTATTACTCCGGAAGCTCCTTTTATATTATCTATATCATTTAAAACTTATAGGGATGTTCTTACTAGACTATATATATCAAAAGCGATATATAGAATAAAATTAGAATTTCGTTACGCTTTTATTTATGAATTATTTTAAAGCTTTTTAAGGTTATAACTATATTAGAAGCTGAAGCTTTTATACAAGAATATAGATCTTATCACGGGGCAGGCGGGCGGGATAGGGTTCTAATAACTTTGCCCTAATCTGGCAAGGTTATACTGATTCGGGTGATAGGTTCAGATTGAGGATTAAGACGTAGCTCAAAGAGCTATGATACAGGATCTTCCAAGTTGAAGATATACAGGATTTTGCTAAGCGAGCTAGCCCGATCGGGTTTCTAGCTTATTTGCGTTCCGGCGCGAGCACTCAATTCGGTTCCCTCCGAGGGGATCAATATGTCATGTGATCTTATACCGTGATATTACCTTTCTTTTAAGAGCCGAGCTCCGTTGAGGCAAAGATATCATAATTCGATTTTCTGGAGGTGGGCAGTATTCGATTAAGTGGGTTCTAGTTTATTAAGATATCTTCGATGGAAATTGCGAATCAGTTCTTGTACGTTTTCTAGGTAGCTTGCAGGTTCCTTGATCGGCATATCGTAGCCGACCCAATGGATAGTGTATTTCAGGCGAGGTTCTTTACGATTTTTTCTTTCCCAACGGGAATTCAGGATTTCGGTAACCTCAAAACGCTCGAGGCTGTCTATTTCTATAGGGGGTAGTAGCAGATTACGCTGTTTAGAAACAGAATCATTGTGTACAGGATATAGCAGATTGACATAAAAACAGGGTAAATCTTTATTGAGGCTGGGAGCTCCAGTTTATAGGCATAGGGGTCTATCGGGTTCAGGATTTTAAAGGGCCCGAGGTTCTTCCAATCAAGCTTTTCTGTAGGCGCAGGGTCTTAATGTTTCTAGCATTCAACCAGACCAGGTTACCGGGCAGATATCTACATGCAGGGAAACGGCGGGCATCGGTATTCTCGAATATCAAACTTGACTAGCAGTTAATTCGATCTATAAGTAATAAAAAGATGGCTTTTATTTTAGTGACGAATTCTTTGGCATCTTGTATAACAGAACGGTTATTCTGGGATGGTACAAGCTCGAAGTCTAGGTGGGGGGTGAAATCCATAATTCGAAAAAGACGGGGTTATTCGAGTACTTTCGAACCAGATATTATTGATAGAGAATTCAGCGAGTAGAAGCCACTCTGCCCAGTCGTCTTGCAGATAGACTACATACAACCAGAGGTATTATTCCAGCATCGCATTAGCCCTCTCGGTTTATCCATCAATTTCAGGATGATAAGCGGTTGAAAGCTTGGCAGCTACGCCCAAGCACTTACAGATATATTTCCAGAATTCAGAGACGAATTGAACTCCACAATCAGATATAATGATCAGGGATAAGCCATGAAGCTTCCAGATATTCTTCCGAAACAGGCGGGCAACCTCTTCGAAGTTACAGGTACCATAGCAAGACAAGAAATGTTTCATTTTCGTTAATCAGTCGATTACTACCATAATAGCATCGAAACCGGTACTTTCGGGTAAGTGTATAATGAAATCTATTGAGATATCTTGCCAAGCTCTCTACAGGATCGGGAACGGGCAGAGAACTCCCTCCTGGCCTCTACAATTCGGGGCAGTGCAATGACAACTATAGCAGTTACAGACCCACTGCAT